AGTGGATTAAAGTGCCTGCAAGCAGGTGCAGGGGCAGGGGGTTTGATCCCTGGGCCTCTTGTGCTGGCCCCTGGGGCATGCTGAGACTGCATTTGAGACTGGGCATGGTAGCGCATGCCTGTAATCCCAGCTCTTGGGGAAACTGTAAACAGGCAGAACACTATGACCTTGATCTAGTAGTGATACCCTGAACACCCTGTAGACCCTTCCCTAAGATACAAAAATAAAATAAAAATAAAAAATAAACTGTACCAATAAATATAAAAATAAAAAAAACACAAAATCATACTCCTAAATTATCTGACAGATTTCCTCTCCTGTGTCAAAGCAGGAGGCAGAGGCCAGCTGAGACTGCCACATTTATCTGCCTCATTTTAGCACAGGCATAGAACCATCCCCATTTTCAAACAAACATCTCCTTAAAGTCAGTGTCAGTGGACATGCTTCCCCACCACTGCCGACCCCCAGCCATTGGGAAGACACAGAGGCAGAAAAGGAAGCTGTGGTAAGCAGATTTCTAGAAAAGGAAAAGTGATGATGACCTAAATCCAAATCAGTCCAGCTTGAGAATTGTGGTATCACTTGCCACACAAGGTCCCCTGAAAACACACAGCTGAAGGAAAGCTGTGGCTGCAGCAGCTCCAGGCCACCACCAACACTTCACCAACCCAGGACGGTAAGGCTGTGCCTCACAGCATGCCTTGTTCTCAGGTCTTCACTGACAGGACTCCTCTGAAGCTTTCCTGACACAGCAGTGCCTCACTGGTCCTGAAAAGTATGCTACAGCCTGGCATTACAACCTCAGAAAACAGTATGTTTCCTAGCTGCTACACCTTCCCTGTGGGCGAGGTAAGCCCTCCCATGCTGCACAGGGGGATCTGCTGGATGTTTTGGCTAAGTCCTGAAAAGAACAGAAGATGAGATGTTTCAGTCCTGTCCAGCATTCTGTGTGTGAAGTAGCTATTAGCATCCGGGCAAGCTGTGTGTAAGCCCTAGGGTGGAAATGTACTTTTAGAGCCACAAGATTCAGCACAGATGAATGCACTTAGCTGCTCCTGTGCCATATATATCCTCCAAAAGGACTGGCTCAGTCATTCCATCTCAGAAGATGTCCTTCCAGATTTCATTTTACAGAAATCACTTTACAAATTAACCTTAGGCCAAATTCAATCAGAAGACCTATGAGATAAATTCTCAGGGAAGATGGTTACCCAATGAGTGTCAAGGATGTGGAAACCAGATAAGCACTGATAAGGTTATAGGAGCCAGTATATCTTGCTGTGAACCTGCAAGGTGCTTCCGAAGCAGCATCCACACCTCCTCTGCAATCCATGGGCTACACTCAATACTGCACACATAATGGTGAGATGTTATTGCCTTATTGATAAACCTCGAAAAAAAATCTTTTTGAAGCTACTGTACCACTAAGTTCAGCACATTTACAAGAGTAAAAGCTAAGAAGCAAAAGGATAGAGAAATTTTCTTGTATCTCAGCTGACTTAATACTTATGTGAGAACTGGAACTCAAGACCTCCCATTTGATGAACTCATGCTTCATGTGTATATAAATTTTCAAAAAAGAAAAACAGAGACAGACAACCAAATCAGCCTAATATAATCAACATAACCAGACAACATAAAAAACTCTATAGCAACAAAATACAAAAGATTACTTATGTAGATTAACAACTAGATGAGCTCCAGATGTATTTTTAAATCTATTCTCCACATGTGTTTTTCTGCTTAATAAATATAACATCCAAGTTGGAATATGGTTGAAACACTGAATTGCCTAAATTTTGGCTAGCCTCACCTGCTGTTAACTATTTTGAGCTCTTTCCTCATTGGACAGCCAGTCCTGAACACATAAGCACATAGGATTGTGAGAGCCAGAAATAAAAGAAAAAATTTAGTCCACAGATATGTTTCTTCTGTTTTATCAAAACAGAATAGTATTTCTTTTAAAAATGCCCTCAAATTTTGTCACTATGTAGGTGTCAGAAAGAGCCAATCACCGGTTCTGCAAAAAAAAAAAAAAAAGCCAGCCTGTTCCTCTTCATAACTCTCAACTTTAAATTCATCTCTGTTGCTACTAGTATGTTTCTAGCTCCAGGAAGTTACTAGGCACCATCACAAGTGCTCAGTCTGTATCCAAGCAGAATAATCCATCAATCAGTCTCAATTGGATGGAAGTTTTGGGGCCAATTTGGACAAGCGCACAGGACAGGTTTCACTTTTCTGCCAAGATCACTTTCAGGACATTGGCTAATTAATTATAAAAGCTTTTTTCAAAATAACTTTGAGTCTGGCAACTTTTTTCCCTACTCAAACAGGAAAAACAGGTTAAAAAATAAAAGCCCAGGTTCACTTTGCTAAAACACTTTCTTTACTAACAACAATAACAAAAAAAAAAAAAAAACACCAAAACTTTGTATTTGCCAAAACTTCAATTTATGTCCAACTCTACTTTTCTTGCTTGTCCTAAAAATAAACAAGATTTGAAGTTACTAGAAGAGTAGTTATGGAAAGTGAAACTATTAACTTGAATTTCTCCTCTACTGTTGGTCATAGAATAGACAATGAATCAGTTAGAAAGCACTACTTCAAGCTCTTTGGTAAAAGATAGTTTCTTCTTTTTGGAAGGAGAACTGATTGGCTGCTATGGATACAATTTAAATGGCAAGATGTTCTTCCAGTAAAATAGTCATTATCCCTCTTTTGCTGACTTTGAAAACAACAAAGTCCTGGGTTAAATCTTCTGTCTTTCTCCATGGGAGTCCTGATGTCCACGAAAGGCTGGTAATGGGCAGCAGAGACTCTGGTTTTAAGGACCTAATCACATAGGTTCTACAACAAATCATGATGTGCTAACATTTCTTCCCCTTCTAGAATCAAAATCTTATGTAATTTGCATCTTAAATCATCACACAATTTCTGTATATGTCCCAAGAAGGTAAGAAACTTCAGTCAGAATTTATCAAATGACTTTTGGCTCATTCTAGCTAGAGGAGGGCTATCCCTAATAAAAGAAGGCTTCCTCAAGAGTCTCAACCCACAGACAAACAAAAATGCCTCAGTCAACGTCAGGTTCCCTAATGAACAATATAATCAACTTTGCTTGGTAAATATGGAATGGAACCAATATGTACACAATAGCTCTGAAGGCAATTCTCACAGCCCAGGTTCCCCTCTCCTGCTACAGGTGTGTACCTACCAATGCACACGATATTTAAATGACATTCTCCAGTGAAGAGGAAAAGTCCTATCAGCACATAATGGAGTACCAACTCAAGGACTCAAGAATAATCCCAAGGTAAGATGGAGGGAAGATAACAAGCCTGACCAGAATAGCATCCTTTTCTGGAGAATCCATGAAGAAGGAGAATAATGGATTTCACAGGAGCACAACAGGAATATAGGAAATTCTGAACTTCTCTTGATAGGGAAATAATATGAAATGTGCATTGATCTGAGAGAAAAAAGGGACAAGGGATTAGTTCCCAAGGTTTTTCTTATAATCTAGAGCTGAAGTGAAGAAGGCCCTACAGCACAGTGCTGGTTAAAGAGGAGATACAAAGAATCCAAGGCCCACCTCATGGGAAAGAACATAATTTCACCTTTCCTGTACTTTTTAGAATGTACCACAGCCTATAAAGTTCTGTCATTACTACAAGCGCTGCCAGTTAAAGAGAAACACTGTCATAAAGATTGCTTTTTTTAGAAAAAATAGCTAAATGTGAAAAGAGAATATTTCAAAGCCATCCTATTTAGAAAAGAGTGAGAGGTAAAGAATAAGGTCATCCAAATGATACACAATTAACATGTCAAGTATGAAGCCAACAGAAATCATATTCTTTTATTACATCAAAGAACAAAAAATTAGTTGTAACAGCAAGAATCAAATACTGGATTTTTTAAAGTGAACTATATGTCTTTTGAATTTAATAAAGGAAAACATTATTATCTGTGGTACAGTTAGCCAGTTTTGAAAAAATTATAAAAGACCAGACATTTTGCTTTCATGTTCCTTGCCCTTTTCAACACAAAATACTTTTCCTTCTATCCTGATAAAACAGGCTAAGATTGCCATTGTTCTTTAAAATATGTTACTTTTATTTCTTTGACACTGAGCCTCCTTTTGTTGTTGTTGTTGTTGGAACCAGGGATTGAACTCAGGCCATTGCACTTGCCAAGCAAGCACTTATTCTACTGAGCTATCTCCCAAGCCCCAAGTCTTCTTAAAATCAGGAAGCATTTTTTTTGGTGGAATCAGGGATTGAACTTAGGCCCTTGCGCTTGCCAGGGAGGTGCTTATTCCACTGAGCCATCTCCCTGGCCCAGGAAGCATCATTTTATAATATCAACATACTCTGTTCAGGAAATCTGCCCACAGATTCCTAACCTAACTTGGAAAATGGCCAATGTCACATTCTTTTCAAAATAAAGCAAACAGAAATTCAAAAGCTGATTGCTCTTCATTTCAAATAGGTTACTTCTTATGTTCGTTGACAAATGAATATGCAGGAAGTGAAACAACTATCACAAACCTAGCCTGATGCATCCCTCTAAGTTAAACTAGTCCAGGATTTCTTAGCCCTTTATAGTTTATTAAAATACTTCTTCATAAAATGTCATTCAATTCCCAAGACAAACCTGAGAAAGAGGTTATTTGTATTTTAAAGCCAAGCCAAGCGCCAGGAATATAGTTTAATGGCATGGCACCTGCCTGGCAAGTGTGAGGCCCTGAGTTCAATTCCCAGAAAAAAAAAAATCAAGTGAATTGTAGTTCCTAGGTTAAAACTATTCAAGTGGACATATCCAAAAAGACTGGAGATAGGATTCAAATTCTGTCCTGACTCAAGAGCAGTTAGAATACTGTTTTCCTTTCCTCACAGAAAGTGCTAGCTCCTGTCTATGGAGAATGACCCATAATCTTTCCCAGAATCTCTGAGATACACATTCACCTTTATGGTTCAAAGTGGCAAGAATCTTTTGCTTACCTGGTCTTTCTCTGGTTTATCAGAAATGTCATTCAGACTGGAGGAAGTCAGGTTCCTATGGGTCATGGCTGGGCTACCTGGAAAAACACAAGTGCACTCTAAGTCAGGATTTTTTTTTTTTCATAAAACATCGTTTGCATTACATACTTCACAGACACTATGGGTAACAATGGGAGTGGTGGCAACATTTTTAACCACATCAGGATTCTTCTGAAGACATTTCCAGAATCCAAGTTGGACTGTAAATATGGTTAAATGGAAAGTAGGTAAAAGCCCAAATATGTTGTCTTACTGCCTGGTTTTGTTTGAAGATAAACTTGCAGGGAAAAAAGACAAGATGCATAAAAATAAATCTCCTAGTTTGGCTTAATTTCTGTCATTGCCTTTCCTCATGCTAAGCCACCTAGTTTCTTTTATTCTTCTGATTGCTTGAAGAAACCATTTTTTGTCCCCACCTGTGGAGCTGGACTCTGGATACTAGCCCAGATTTCCTGTCACCCAGGCCTTGCCTTCACTTCCTACAGTACTATCCTCTGATCTTCCAGAAAAGTCACCTGCCTTCTCTTCTCTGGTGTACACTTCAATCACCTCTAGTTCTTCTTAGTGGTCATCTGATCCAGAATCCTCATTCTTTGCCTTGAAACCTTCTTTTTCTCCCTGCATTCCCACTTGCCACTCTAAAATAAGCAAATAGATTCTTCCTTCTTAACACATAAAACTTCTCCTTTCAGTCAAAGACTGAATTTCACTGGGAATACTACAGGAAAACTAATTTTTCCAGCAATATAGCAGGCCAAGGTAAAATAGATTAAAGATGTATTCAGTTATTCTTGACACTGTTATATGCAGACAGAAAGAAGGGAAATACAGAACAGCCACAAACCATTTTTAGGGAGGCCATGTGAATCAACAGAACACTGAGCTTTCAGACCTGAACCTTCTAGGCTTACTAAGCAAAAAAAGTAACTTTTGAAAGCCAAGGTGTTTGACCCAGCCCTGCAGGGTGCTGAGTAATGTATTTATTATTAATCCTCAATGATCCCACTCAGGTTGGTCTCATAGCAAGAGGACAAGGGTTGGAAAGAAGCATGGAAACAGTTTAAACAGAGCTTCACCTTGGCTTTCATATCATTCTTTCGAACACAAACTCTAATTCTTGCAGATAGAAACTCCAAAAAATATAATTTTAAAATACTAAAAATTACTCTACACAAGTTAATGCCTATGTAGCAGCAGCTTTTTAAATAATATAATCACCTTTAAAGATCAGAAAAAATCCATTTTCCTGAGCTAGCAAGACAGGGCATTTTCCACTCTGCTGCATTTTATTGAGTAAGCATGGCCTAGATCTCTTAAATCCTCTACCTGGTAGGGTGTGTTATTCTAGGAAAATTTGAGCACAGGGCAAGGAAAGTAACATCTGAAAAAGTGCCTTATAAGCAAAAAAAAAAAAAAAAAACCCTCTCCATAAGGTCACATTTTCCCCTCTGACCCAAATGCTAGACTTCCAGTGTCTATTCAATACTAAAGACATCAGACACAAACTTGAATGTGTCCAAACAGTGCTATGATTGAAAATACTAGAAAATGATGAATAGGTATAATTTTGCACTTCACATTAAAAGAAAAGCACCTGTTATTTGGCGTGAGTGGATATTTTGTCTGAATAACTGAATTATGCATTCCTAAAGCAATGAACCCTTAGAAATTTTCATCATTTGTAAGTTAAAATTAGATGCACACATCAGATTGATTTCTTTTTTTTTCATCAGATTGATTTCTAATTATCAAATTAATTGTATATGAAATTACAATTTCATATACAGTACCAAAATGACTTCAAAGCAGTTTTTCATTAAACAAATTAACTGTGCAAGAGTCTAAAATATTGATTTGCTTTGGAAAATCTTTATAAAATCTGTAAAGGTACATTTCAGCACTATCATTGTCCTTATTGCTATGAAACATGAATAGGAAAAGAACAAATGAGTAAGGTTTTTACTATAGTGATAAACTTGACTGACGTGACGACTTTTCCAAGAAGCCTCATATAATAATAAGAGCCATTATATCTCTCCTTTCTGAGAGACAGTTATAATCCAGGGATCTATATTTACACTCTATGATAGTTAAAAAGATGCAAGAACCAGATGAGAGAGAAAAGGCTGATATTAAGAAACAATCATATCTATTGTCCCTCCTAAACTGTCTCTGGTTCCCACTAATAAAAGTGATTAATACTAACAGCATCAGTAACATTTCAACCTGCAAACTATACACTGGATGAGCTCAGAAGATGACAGTTCCAAGTAATTAAGCAAGATGATCTGCAGTCTTCAAACATTCTCTGTCTTCTTCCCTATGAAGCTAACAATGCCTAGTCTCCGACACCTTGAACCAGAAACAAAAATTTCCCAAGCCTCTAAATTGTTCCTGAGCCAGCAGTATCTGTACCCCCAGGCCCCACTACCACACCACTTATTAGAAATTCAAGTTCCTGAGACTCACTCCAAACCACTTCTGTAAAACCCTGGGTGTGCAGCATAGTAATGTGGGTTTCAGCAAACCTTCCAAGTAGTTCTGAAACATGCTAAAGAGTGAAAATATAAAATATCCTACTTCACAGGATGTGCCCCATCAGAATCTGAAGTCAAAGAAACAAATACATCCAAGCTAGAAGAGGCAGAAGGGAACCCTGACAATTTGCCCTTCTCTATGCCTTAAAATACTCTAACTCAGGCAAATCCTTTAAGTCACAACCTTGCCACATAAACACGTAGAAAGAATATTCTATTATCCCTCTGACATATTACCTATCCAACCAAATAGCTGGTTTACCTTATTTTGGAAACTCTGCTTGATGAACTTTTTCCAGATACATGTTACCCAAATAAAAAACTGGGCCAGAGCCAAAAGAGATTACAAATCAGATTACATCTGGGAATCAGAAATGCATGTGTGGATTTAGACAAACCCAGGAAGCTATTACACAAGAGGCCCCTAACAAAGTTCTATTGTGCACGCTTTGTAACTGACAAGCAGTAAGACACACTGTCAGAAAAAATGAGTGCTCTCTATTTAGAGTCTTGACCTATAATGCAAATTCATTATATGCAGTGAGTAGGAGATCTACACAATAATGTCACTTGGGGATGTTACTTCTTGGAACAGGCAATGATCAAGACAAAGCTGCCATTAGTGAGTGCTGTCCATCTAAACCCTGGGGTGCATAAATATCTATGATTGTTCCTAGCCCAAAATAAAAAACCCAATTTTTTCTTAATTTTTATTTTAGAAAGAGAAGAATCAATCTCAAGTGCATAGTCATATTTAATTTCCATATCACTGTTTTCTGGCCATAAAGAAAAGAAAGGTTTTAGAGAATCACATTTTCAAGCAGTTTCACACAATCAAAAACAATTTCATTTTTAAAGTACCCATTTGGCAGGTACACAGTGTTTCTATAAAAATTAATCACATTCTGTACTGTTTAAATATGGTTGTTATTCTTTAGCATACATGTAGCAATTCATAAAGTCTTTTGCAATTGTGTCTATTCTACAATACAAATGGGTAAAGGAGAAAGATGGTATTTAAGTGTAGACATAAGAAATGTACATTGATAAAGAACAGAATGACATGTAAACTCCCTCTTGCCTCACTCTGCCATGAGGAGGCAATAGAAAACTCAAGAAAGAGCTAACAGAATAGTCTCATAGTCTATAGAATATACTGGGTTCTTAAGAATAATTTAGTAGCAGGAAGCATTTTTAGCATAACAATAATTAAAGTAGTTTGCATAAAATAGACATATAAATGCATCTGCATGCTCATATGAAAATTCAGAGGGGCCCAGGGAGATAGCTCAGTAGAATAAGTGCCTACCTGGAAAGCACAAGGCCCTGAGCTCCATCCCTGGTACCACAAAAAAAAAAATCAGAGTCATGGATTTTTTTTTTCATTTGTGTATTTGGTACAGGGTCTCACTATGCGAATTGGACTCATGGCGATCCTTCTGTTTTCAGCCTCCCTAGCACTGGGATTACAGGTATGTACCACCATGCCTAGACTCAGTCACCCACTAAGCATGCCCCAGGGGGCAGCTGGCACAGCTTGTGGAACTGGGGACTGAGCCCTGATCTCTGAGCTTGCCAAAGCAGGCACTTAGTCCACTGAGCTATCTTGCCAGCTATATGGGTCTTACTTAAACTACACATTATTTTCAGAAGCATGTACATACTGGAGTTTGGATGTGAAAATACCCACAAGGAGCCCAGTCCTTAGCCTGCAGCACTAAGGGGGTGGCGTGAGTGTTAGAAGGTGGGGCCTTACAAAAGGAAATGAGGACTGGGTCCTGCAGGGGTTCCTCTAGAAGGATTCCAGGGACTCAGCCCCTTCCTGTATCCTATGCCTCCCAGCTACCCTGAGCCAAGCTCCATTACAAGGTACTGTGCCCTGCAGGCTCCTTGCAATGGAGACAAGAGACTAAATTGTGCCCTCTGAAACCATGAGTCAGAATAACACTTCCAATTGCTAATCCATCCCAGATATTTTGTCCCAACGATGGAAACATGACTGACACGGCACATTTACTGTGCTCTGCACTCCCAATGATACTTTCCCAACACTCCTCCCATTTTTTATTGACACAACAAACCTGCTAGAAGATGTCTACATCCAACATTAATAGTCAACTGATCATTTGGATTACCAGATACTTTTAGTATTTGTATCAACATTGTGTATCTAATACTATTATTGCTACTTAATGGATAAACAAATGAACTGCAAAGAGGATAAGTGGCACCAAGACAGAAAGAAAATACAAACAGAAAATAGTAAAATCATAATTCTCCGGTTCAAATAAATAAGTAAATAAATAAAAATAAATAAACTTGGATTTCTTAATACCAATTCCACCTCCTTGTGAAGAAAACTGATCTCCTGTGCCATTTACATAAATAATACATAGACCTCATCTTGTCTAACAAAGGGGAAATCTATAACCACAAAGAATATACTCTATTTACATGCCAATTGTATGCCATAGAGCACTGGTAAGGAAGTTTAAGGCAGA